GGGGGGGGGGGGGGGGGGGGGGGGGGGGGGGCGGCAGGGGGGGCGGCCTGCAGCAGGAGGCGGGTGGCTGCTTCAAGCGGATGATGATGACAGGCGAGGGGCGGCTGCAGTGGGTGGGGGGCAGCTGTTTGCCGATAGATTTTGCATTAGTGTACGGTGTAATTCAAATTCGGTTAAATCAACCGAATTCTAAATTCAACCTAATTCTAAATTCAACCAAAATGAATTACGGTGTAAACTTCAAAATCATTTATACTTTACATCTTATTTGTAATTCTTCATACCAAACATATAATTTTCTCATATCTCTGCGAAAGAATTACAGTACACCACAAGTTTACTCAACCAAATAACACCTAAAGTAATCACATATATTATGATGATGGAACTTTATCAAAATTTTGTGATACTTACCAAATTTTTTTATTATTTTTTTACTGATTGTATTTAATCATTATTGTAATCCATCTCAAAATTTATGGTGTGATCTTTGGGCGCGTTTAATGACAAATATTACTGTATGGGGACCTCCATCAAATTTTTGTGAAACCCCTCAAATTTTCATGTTTATTATTTTATGGCATTTATCGTTATTCTGATTACAATGGTTATTCATTCTATTCTCATTATGGTCCTTCTTCATACTATAATTGCCCTCCTGATTTCACTTCAACATCGCATTGACATAGCTACTCTCAATCCTGAAGACAACTTGTAGTCCCAAAAGTCTTCTGTTAGCCTACATCACTTTCTTGCCTCATATCTAAATAGAGGCTATGTTGCTTGATCTTATTATCTTCTTTGAGCAAATATTTCTAATCCTAATCCTTAGTAAATTCAAGCTTTACATCATGATCATGATGATCATGCATGCTATTATCATCAATTGTGATCATCATAAATCATATCATGACAATCTTGTATACGATAATGACAATCTCTTAGATCTGAGTATCTTGATGATCAATTCAAACAATTTTCATATTAATTATTCATGCATTGAATATGATGATATTATCAATTTCCTCTCCACTATATTGACGTCAATATAACTTGCTCTCTACTGTTGTTTTGCACATCAATTTCAACATTTATATGCAAATAACAACTTATACAAAGCTATGTAAAGAATGAAATTCCAAAACAACAATTATTGCCAAAAAACACAAGTGCAAAAATAGTAGAACTAACTGATTATCTGGAGTCTCAGAGGAATTGGATAAGACCAATATAGAATGTGTATGAAGTGGTCCTTAATTGTGTATTTTAGTATCTTGATATGAACAAAGAAGAAAAATAAGATGATAATGATGATTAACCAACCGTTGATCTTGATATTAAGCATGAACAAGTGAAAATGCCTAAGGTTGATGATGTAGAAGGGTTATTTGGTGGTTTTCTTTGACGAGAAACCAAATGCTGCACGTCAATGTCACTAACCTATGATTTTAAGTTTTAGGCTGTTGCCAGGCTTTATGTTGCTGGTGATGATATCTCCATTCCCAAGAGCTTATGCTTTACTTTATTATGAAACTTTTAACATGACTAAGAGGTGAAGAAGCTTTTCTTAGGTTCACATAAAATAGCAGGGAACTAGCTTACTTTAATGTAAATTCTTGCTCTGTTTACTTTTATTTTTGGACTGACATCTCTATTGTTTGTACTCGAACTTAGTTGCATGATATTATTGCATTCGCTTTTCAATCAAGCATCAGTACATTTACCTAGTTTTATTTCTTAATTAATGTGATTGTGGATTTAATATAAAAAATTTTATGTCATCTTAACTGAATATTTCCTTTTTCTTCTGTGCAGCAAAAATGTTCTCTTGTCGAAGCATGGTTGGAATAGATATAGATAAAGGTATGGTCTTTTGATCTTTACACTGATTAAATCGAGTTTGGTTTTAACTATTAAGTTATTTTTTTGTGGTTGATATTTTAGTGTATTTATAAAGTGATTTTCTCGATGGAGGCTAGTTAATGCTTTGATATTATAGAAAAGTATATTCATGTTAGGTGTTTAATATTAATTCCTTCCAACAGTCTGAACTTTATTAAACTTGGAAGCCAAGTTCTGGATATTCTTCTAACATACTTCTAACATATGGAATAGGAAATTTGTGCTCTATCACACACCACAAAAGAAACCCTAGAAAACTGTAATTTCCATGTTCTTGATAAACTACTTAGGCACGAAGATGGCTCCCAGTCAGCCTCTACTATTGCTGGACCCTTTTCAGTTTAACGAGAGGGAAGACACCTCTGTTTCTTAGCAGTTATAAATATTAACAGCGCCTGCACTAAACAATTGGCTGGGACAAGACTCCTCCACCTTCCTCTGTTTAGCAATGTCTCTTGAAGGTCACCTTTTTGTTGTTCTCAAGAAAACCAAACACAGCCGACTGAAGGGGAAGGGAGAAACCAGAGAATGGAGAGAAGATGATGGAAATTATTTTCTTATCAGGGGAATTGTAAATTGTGATTTATAAAATGTGGGGTAGGGATATATATAGTCACACACCTCAAAGTATTTGTGCAAAAAATAAAGAAACTAAGAAAAGATTTATATGCAAGAACTATCCTAAGAAATGAAGAATCAATGCAATTATGTTCACCTTGGTTCTTTAATTCATTAAGATCCAAAAAAAAAAAAAAAAAAAAAAAAAAAAAAAAACTCTCACCAAATTTAATAACTCCAAGCAATGCTATTGCTTGGACCCTTTCCAGTTTAGCATGAGGGAAGGCACCTCTATTTCTTAGCAGTTATAATATTAACAGCGCCTGCACTACATTACCTGGGACAAGACTCCTCCGCCTTCCTCTGTTTAGCAATGTGTCTTGAATATCACCTTTTTATTGTTTCTTAAAGAACCTGAACACAGTCGACTGAAGAAGAAGGGGAAAAACAGAGAATGGAAAGAAGATGATGGAAATTATTTTCTTGTCAGGGCAATTGTAAATTGTGATTTATAACATGGAGGGTGGGGATATGTATAGTCACACAACTCAAAGTATCCGTGTAAACCAAAAAGAAGCTAATAATAGATCTATATGAAAGAACTAAGCTAAGACATGAAGAATCAATGCAAGTATGTCGATCTTGGTTCTTTAATTCACAAAGATCCAAAAAATCAACATAAAGATTTCTCTCACCAACTTTAATAACTCCAAACAATGTTAAAATATTGAGGAAGCTTGTACTCTTTTCAATATTTCTCATGCATCACCATTTGTTGGAATATTTATAATCTTCACAATACCATTTGTCGCAATCTTATTGATGAAATAGGATTCTACATCAACATGTAATTTTTGGTGAAGTATACTGCACTATGACTGTTAGAAAGGACACATGCAGAAGTGGGTGCTGATTGGACCTGCCTTTTCAATCATTCTCTACTTCACGACTTGAGATTCAACAATGTATTCGATTTCAATGGTGGATGTCTGATTATTAAAACAATCCGCACAATTTGAGTCTATATACCCCATAACTACATCATTTATGGAATCAAAATTTTCATACATCAATCCCAATATTATGGTTTTTAAGTATCATGATACTTTTTTTGGGAGCTTCTCATTGATCTGCTATGGTCTTTCTTACGACATTTAATGTAAGACAAATTACATTCAAAAAATAATAGTATAAATTCTTATACCTACAAGATTTCTGATGCATCATCATTTGTTGGAATATTTACAATCTTCACAATGCCATTTGGCACTATTTTATTGATGAAATAGGATTTTACTTCTTTCATGAAACAAGTACTTTTTGGTGAAGTATACTGCACTATGACTCTTTGAAAGAACAAACACAGAAGTAGGTGTTGATTGAATCAGCAATTTAGAAATCATTGATTTCAATCATTCTCTACTTCACGGCTTGAGATTCAACATTGTATTCGATTTCAGTGGTGGAGAACGCCATATCTAGTTGCATTGAAAACACCTTTACTATATAGCTTATAGAGGATGTCCCATTATTAAAACAATTTGCTCAATTTGAATCTATAAACCACATAATTACATCATTTATTGAATCAAAATTTTCATACATCAATCCCAATTTTATGGATTTTAACTATCTTGGTACTTTTTTTGACAGCTTGTCATTGACGCCTCATTTGATTTGTTATGATTTTTCTTATAACAGGGGGTGCTTGGCTGCAAGTCGGATTTAAGTTAAATAGGATTTAATAAATTCTATAAATCCGGATTTATTAAAACTAAATATTATTAAATCCAAAATAATATTTGTTTCAATTAAAATTAAATCTAGTTAAAATCTATTTGATGTGTTTGACATAAATTTATTTGAAATATTTTTTTCCCAAGCTAAATTTGTTAAATCTGTTGAATCCAACTAATAAGTGAATTTACTAAATCCGAATTTAATAAGCAGAACGAGCAAAAAATGGATTTAACTTAACGACAGATTTATCTATTCTATTTATGGTGTTGGTGCAGTTTTGTTAAATTCATACTTAAATTTTGTTAAAAGTGTCCTACCAAACACTGTCTTAGTGTAAGCCAAATTACATTCAAAAAATAATAACGTACATGCTTACACATGATTTTGGTAGGGAATCTTTTTCATATATGATCTTTAATAATCATCGCCATGTGGTTGATCCTTGCTTAACTTAAAATTATTTTGCTATGGGTGTTGAAAGTGGTTTAGAAATGGTCATTCCCAAACTTGTTCACAGTTATTATGATGTATATTTTTTTGTGACAAGAAGAATACTTTTTCCTTATTCTCGATGATCTCCATTCCCAGAATTGGTACGAACCAGATTTTTCATATCAAATTCTATTTCAAGTAAGGCATTTAATATTTTGATTTCTTCTAAGGTAGCAATTTCATGTAACATACAATCAATAGAATGTAAAAGATAGATATTGTTGCTAACATCCTAAGATCTTAGATTGACACAACAATCGTAGTTGTTGCAACTGAATACTATATCAAATATATACTCATTATATCTTTTATACCACATGCTTGGAAATTATGACAACTCCTACAAGGATCTTTTTAGCAAACGTATGATATTTAGTTTCAATTTCAGCAAATGCTTTAGGTTAATTCATGCAATTGCTCTCCTACATTTTTCTTTACAAAAATGTTTTTTTAACATCCATTTTCGGTCAAGTTAAATAACCATGGAGAAAAGAATACGTTTATCTATATGCCTTGCACTTGGATAGGAAAGTTCAGAATAATCTTCACCCCTTGTGTAAACTTCTAATTCAAGCTCACCTTTGAATCTTGGTTCTTTACTCTAAAAATTTCATCCTTCTTTCGGAATAACAATTTGAATCTAACTCCCTTTTTTTATTTGTTAACCAACTCCCAAGTATTATTCTTTTTTACAGAGATCATCTCTTTATTTTATCTTATTTTGCATGTTTCATGGCTTTTTTATATGAACTTTGTTCTTTACCTAGTAGAAAACTAGCCACATGTACATAATAAGAAAACTCTTATCTACTAACCCACATCTTTGTGGTGCCTGAACAGTATGCGTAGTCCTACCCCTTTTCAAATTAAATGTTATTTTTTTGCATTTCTTCAATGCTTTGCTATCTAGGCTCTTTATGACCTGTCAGTTGTTTCTTGATCTTTTTTTTTCCCCAAGAATTTCAAGATTCTTCGACTGTTCTACCTATAGTTGCAATGTATGGTTTTCATTATTTGTCTTGTTTAGAACTATAGTTATTGAAACTAAATCTATCATTTGTTTTTCATTAAAGAAAATATCCATGCTGATGAAATGTTTAATATGATTTGGTTCCTAACAACATAATGTATACCATTCTATTTTCTCAAAATATCCAATGAAAATACACGTCGTAGCTAATTGTTCTAATTTGCCCTATCAAGTGTGAGCATAAATGATACAGCAAATACCTTTAGCCTGTTGTAGTTTTTTGCTTTTCCAGTCCACCTTTCTTGTGGGATTTTGAATTCAATGGCCAGTGAAGGACACCTACTTATCAAATAGCTAGCTAGCTATGCTGATTTCTTTTGCCTCAAAATGTCTTTGATAGACCTGCATTATTTAACATGATTTATTTACATATATGCTACTCTTTTGAGCAAGCCATGTTTAATAGTTTTTGTTCATTCAATTGTTTTTTTTTTTTTTTGGTTCTTTGAAAGGATTGTTACTTATCTAGCATAATTAGCAGTAGTGCAACACAATGTGCACTTTAACACAGTGCAGTGATGTGGAATACTTACGTTGTTATTGTTGCTAGTGAATAATTAATATCATGCAAACTATCCTTTTAATTGAACTATAGGAGTCAAGAAGATGATATAAATGAATAAAGGCGGAGCTTGATAAACTACTTCAAGATAGTTTCATTCAAAGGCTAAGGGATCTAGTTTGGATTGGTTGGAATTTATTTTTGATTTTATCTAAATAAGATTCAAATCTGATTAAATTGCCAGGGGTAAGGTCTACCTATATTCAATCATAATATGCGTGTTTTGTTTGGTTGTCATTATTGGGTTTTAGGTCGACCTAAAAGCTTTTGAACTCTCTTAGCAAGGGGAAATTGAAGATATTATTAAGCTCCATAGCAATTGGGAAAGATATTTATACTCTATAATTATTAGAAGAAAAAGTTTTTTACAACAACAACGACAACAACAACAACAAACCTTTATCCCACTAGTGGGGTCGACTACATGAATCCTTTTTTCTCCATTGAGTTCTATTGAGTGCCATATTTTCATTAATGTCTAATAAATTAAGATCATTTTTTATACAATATGCAAGTCTTTTTAGGTCTACATCTGTCTTTCTTAACATAAGTTAAATCTAAAACATCGGCTCTCCTAAC